AACCTTCATATAGGAAAAAAAAACTTTTCAATTGTAGTTCATATAAATTATTAAATTTTTATCTAAAATTTATATTTAAAAAGTTAAAAAGTCAAATTAAAACTATTAAAAATTAACAAATGAAGTAATAATCATTTAATATTATAAAAAAAATAAAATTGAAACCAATTAAATAATTAATAAATATAGGCTGTGACAAAAAATTATATATTTAAAATGGATAACATTTTTTATAACATTAAAACATTTCAATTGAGTAGCACAATTAGGTATAAGTAACTCTTTCAATTTATTAGCAATTTGAACTTTAATCAATATTTATTATTTCCAAATCATTAAATAAAAAATTTTATCGAGTACACAATTCATACCTATAAGTTTACCAAAGCACTATAACAAACGAACGAACCCTATATAACATGATTGAAATTGTGATATTGAAACTTAAAATTTGAGATACACAATGTTTATAAATGGATGACATGTGTGTATATGCGTGTTTATAGGTAGTTTTTTTGATACTATGAACATCTCGACTACCCTTGAGGACATGTATTAATGTAACAAAATGTGATAAAAATTTAATATTATTTTTTTTATTTTGGTTGCACAATAAGAAGCAATTATATCTATCTCTTATCCTATCCCATTTGTATGTCATACGATTCGAATTTAAAATTTTTGACTTTTAATGAAATGAGATAATTACTGAATTATTTAAATTGTTAATAAAAAAATTTAACATTATAAAAACCTTATATTATGGTAAAAATATGAAGAATTTATTAATAGAGCGTCTCTCTCTCTCTCTCTTATAATTTTTTTTGGCAAAACAGCGTCTCATGTTCTTGAGACTAGGTAAAACTCCTGGGTTGAATTCAAACAAAAAATAATATTAAAGAATTAAGAAGATAAGCAGCTTTTGTATATATATAAAAAAAAAAATGAAGACAAGCAGCTTTGTGTTAAGCATCCATTGCCTCAACGGCAGAGCTATTATAAATAAAATATTATATGGCGTTGCACGAATGCAACAAGTAAATGCAAACCGTCCATGGCAGACATATGACAAGTTGGAAATTGTCTTCTACTGAAATGATGGGTAAAAAATTATTTTTAGTTCTTTACTATTAAATTTATAAATTTTAATTTTTTATTTTATATTATAATATTTTTAACTTATTAAAATTAAAAAAATAGTTATCATTTTATAATATTTTATTATTATGTTTACTTATTATTAATTTTATTAACTGATTATTAATTTTATTAATTAAAAATAAGTTTTTACCAACTAACAGTCAGTTAACAATTAAATAATAAAATTAATAGTCAACTAATAAAATAATTCTGTTAACTCATTGTTAATTCTATTAGTTAAAAGTATATTTTTGTTAGTTAACAGTTAGTTAATAATCAACTAATAAAGTTAACAATCAATTAACAAAATTAATAAAATATTATAAATGATGATTCTTTTATTTAATTTTAATAAGTAAAAGATTAAATGTCATAATATAAGATGATGAGTTAAAATTTACAAATTTAATAAAATAAAAAGTAACAAAATAAACTTTTACCGAAATGATGATGGAGAAACAAGATTCCTTTTTAATACTAATTTTAATGTTTAAAAGTAATATTAAATTTTACTTAATTTAAAATCAAACCACAACAACTAATAAAAAAACAAGAATTGAACTAAAGTTACGATATGATTTCATTTTTTATCGCTGGTATCTCAATAGGTTATTATTATTATTATTATTTTAATAAAAAGCAACAGTGATGATATGATTTATTTTTTATCAAATGGATCTCAATCGGTTTTATTATTATTATTATTATTGTTTTAATAAAAAGCAACAGTGATGATATGATTTATTTTTTTATCAAATGGATCTCAATCGGTTTTATTATTATTATTATTATTATTTTAATAAAAAGCAACAGTGATTATATGATTTATTTTTTATCAAATGGATCTCAATCGGTTTTATTATTATTATTATTATTATTTTAATAAAAAGCAACAGTTTTATTAATAAGCAAAATGTTACGTACGGAATCTCACCGAAACTATATAAACAAATAAAATC